ATTGAATCAAAATACCTCAGAAGTCAATATTAGAAAAATCTATAACATACGATTCGATGCATCTTCATCTCCTCTTTCCAAAGGTGAAAACCGCACTTTTCTATGATGTATTCATCAAAAGTTATTCAAAAAACACTCACTAAAAAGTCATGTAACCACGACACATGCGAACAAAAAAGATCTTATCGAAACTTTATTATTATTATATTAGTTGAAGTATGATCAAATAGCATAGAAAAATAGAGCATTCTTTTCTCTATCAGACTATATACAAAGAAAGTCTCTTAAAGCTTTTTATAAGGAATAAACGTGCTACTGCCACTACTTTTGGATTGCCCTAAGTAGTATGTGATCAGGGTAGTAATTTTGTGTGTGCTTTTAAAGATTTCGAGCCGATTTTCTGTTACGGTCATCGGCAGAACAATATTGTCAAACTGACCTTTTTTCAGAACAAAAGGAAAAAGAAAAATGTTGGTGCCGTTGTAATTGATGCTGCAAATATACTTGATACGACTCCACCTTCAACAATAAAAGCTGAAGATAATGATAATCAAAGTCATGGATCTTCAAGCGATGACAGTGATTTATCAACTGATGATGATTTCGCAAATGACACAGCTTTACCAGTTATTAGAAAAAAGAAAAAAATTGTTAAAGTGACTGTATCATCAAAAAATGATTTATTATTTTCTCAAAAGAAAATTACGGTTGATCAAATTCCAACCTCAGCTAAACATGTTCTTCAAGTTTTAAATAAATGTAAGAAGATAGTGAAATACGTGAAAATGGTAAGCATAGTTCTCAGAACATTTGCGTTTCCAGCTATTTTATATCATCATCCTATCTTCATTTTGTATTTAGACAGGAATTAACAATGATATCAAACAAGAAGGTGATGTTACATTGCATCAATCGTGTATCGTTCGGTGGTTATCAATGTCGAACTTGTTGGAGAGCATGTTAAAATCATTCAAGGCAACAAAACGATTATTATTAGCTCGAAATAAACATTCATTAATTAATGATTTAGATTTAGCAACATTAAAACAACTGGTTCTTGTTTTAAAACCATTAAAGCATATCATGACACTTGTTCAAACAGGAAATTTGCCATCTTTACATATGGTTTTACTATGTACTTTAACTTTAAAACGTGCTTTATCGTCATATACATCATTAGTTGATTACGTAAACAATTATTGTAATTTAAATGATAACACATCTGATAAAGATGAGTTTGAGGAAAATGAAGATTATGAATCAGAAGGTTAGTATAAGATTTGAATAAAATATTTTGTCGAAAGAAACGTATTAACTGCTGCAATTTTAATATCATTGCATTTGGAATTTTTTATTTTACTCTTTTGTCCTTATTGGATAGGCTAACTTTTAGTAATATTTCATTTACATTATTTTGATTGATATTGATTAATGTTGCATTATCAGTTTTTATTCTGTTTTCTGTCTTAATCAACCAATTTTTATATGAACTTACTTTTGTTTTAGGTATCAAATGGTTTCGTGAGCGTTTTTTTGAATTTAATCGATGAGCTTTTTAATCTTGACGTACGTCATTACTGTGCAACGATATGGCACCCAAAATATAAGTTATTAAAACGTTGTACAACAGATGAACGCTCTCAATGTCATAAATACGTTCGTCAACAATTAAGAATTTTACGTGATGAAGATATACCACCAAAACCATGTGAACCTCCATCTGAACCACAACAAAAAAAATTCAAAACAGTTGATACATTATTTACATGTTTTCAACATGATTATGCACATGATAATCTAAAAGACAATCGTGTGGAATGTGACTATGAGAGTGATGAATACGAATATGATACAAATCAATTAAACGAATTAGATCAATATTTAATTATGAAAATTGATAAATCATCAATAACAAATAATTCATTGGATTTTTGGCGGTGCCATACAAAACAATTTCTCTTATTATGTAAATTAGTCAAACGTATTTATTCAATACCTGCAACATCATGTAATGTAGAAAGATAATTTTCAAGTGCTGGTTTGATAATTAATCAAAGAAGAACCAATATAAATCCCGAACAAGTTGAAAATATTCTCTTTATAAGATCGTTAAAAAAACTATAATAAGTTTTTTTTGTAATATATAGTTTGTTTTTGTTGTAATCGATTGTGTATTTTTGTTGTGACATATATTTTTTTTTTGTTATGATATGTTCATTTTGTTATGATCTATAGATTTTTGGGATCTGAAGACTTTTTGTTGTGATAATTATCTTCGTTTACGATGATTTCATTTTCTTAATGAAAATCTTCATTGTTTTTTTTGTTCATGTTTAGCTATATTTTAAAGACATCTATATTAATTGTAACATTTTCTCGAAAGTACCTGAATAAAATGTGAATACTTGATTTGAATATAGTTATAAAGTTTTTATCAGATTCTTAAGTCTTTTATGATTCAAGCTCAACTCATAAGCCCTGCCCTGCCCTGCCCTGAGGGCAGGGCAGAGCAGAAAAAAGTGCCCTTTGACGGTCTCTGATAACTATGCAAATAAGAAGAAATTGTTAAATCGTTATTTGCAAACGATAGATAGTATGTACAAGTAATTATTCAAACAAAAAAGAAATATAAGAAATATGTCACAGTGATATAAAGACAAATCAAGGTAAGACAAGTATTGTGTATGCATAAAATGATTTATCACTTTGCTTTGTTCGTAGCTGTCGACTGTTTGAGTAAAGTTACTTGTAGTGAATCATCACTTCTACATGACTATAATCTTAATACATAAAAATATCTTTCATGGTATAGAGAAGTGCAAAAAAGATTAACATTGAAAAAAATCAACATTTCAACCAGAATTTGAGACTGAAGGACTATATAGACATAAGCAATTTAAGAATATAAAAATCACCGGGATTTCTACTCTAACGTGAGTAAATCGATTATATCTTCTATCGAGAAATGATATAGTACGGAGAAGGTACTAGCTATTGAATATATCTGATATCTAAATTCTCAGCAAGATTATCACTAAGCAAAAAAGAAGCTATCTAAACACTAAAAAAGCAAAGTCCAAAGGAAAATGGTAGCGAGTAAAACAACCAAGGAAACAATATGTTCCTTGTACACATCTGCCATAAGAATTTGTATCGGTCATCTTCTCTACGTACGATGATTTGTCTTCTTCGAGTTCGAAAATAAACGAAGCAACACTTTTATGTCTTCGCAAGAAAGAGTGTCGATATGTGAAGAAAATACCGACACCAATACCCACACTCACACTTGCGCTGATAATTGACTTAGTAAGAGATAGTTCGAATGAATACTGTTGCCAATAATTTGACTACTCATGTTGACAAGTCGTACTAGTTGAATCAGAATATTCACTAGGGAATTGATTCAAAGTCATAGTTCAAATCGTGTCAAAAACTTCATTGAAACTTTTTATTTTTGCCTAAAATATTATCGAGATAAAACACTTCGTTAATGTGACTATCAATATAATTTATTTTCACTGGCGACGAGTAGTCACACCTGAATGCATTCAGACATTCGTTAATCTGTGATTCATGGCTTCCCGTTGTGAGATACGGCGAGCATCATAAAATCATATTTGTCATATGGGCAATTAATCTTATACCTTTAAGGTCCGTTGATCAGACGCAAAAGAAAATGCAAACATCCATTACTTTTTATTGCGTGCAACTTGTTTATTAAGTACTTTAATCTGATCATAACACGCTTAAATTATAAGGACGTCTACAGAAAGAGTGATCACAATAATATCTTTGATAAAGTAGATATAGCACTTTATCTTTAACTTACGAAATAAATTAATGTAAGTATACTTTACTCAAAAAATCAAATATTGTAGTTGAAATTTTTTGTCAATGTCTCAGGTAAGTACTTGAATTAATAACGCTACAATGTAGTCAAAATGTTTCTATATCATTTCATCATCGAATAGATGAAAGATAAAGTAAAGTAGCAATTAAAAATTATCGATTTCTATCAATAAATAAAAATGTTGTTTGGTCAACTTTACTTTATTTTGCTCTACAGATTTATACTACAGTATTTTCTACTATTGAGGTAAAGCAACCTTATTCTACGCTACTTTACCGATTAGGTAAAAGTTGGATGCTGCACTTTATTTTTGCAAGATAACATAAAGACAAAACATCATCCCTATGATAGAATACCGAAAGTCATGGCACGATATCCATAACAGATATCAGTATTCAAGTTTTAGGAGAATATTACTCTCTTAATGTGTCTTGTCAAGTGAGAATGTAATACCCTAACTAATACCGACATTTGAATCAATGAAAAATTTCCTATATCATTTTGATTATATTTTTGAAGTATTTTTAATTTTTGTAAACATTTTCAAGTTAATTTTAATCATTCTATCAAACTCCTTTCTGCTTTGTTTACTAAATAAAACTTGATCGGTTGCGTTTTATTCTCAAAGAATTGTAATCAGTTGAATCAAATTCTCATTATTAACCGTTGTGCAATCATCAAAGAAACTGAAAGATTTTTTTTTTCTCATATTATCGATTACTAATAAGATATTCTGTGACTAAACTTCGACTTTTGTGTGTGTTTTAAACAGATAAAACAGATGTAAAAGCTAGTTCTTTACAAATACACATAAAGTCTTTTATATCTGGAAAAATTTGCAGCATTAGTTCTGGTGTATTTTAGATGAGAAAACCCTACACTTTGAGATCTATTTCGATTATCTTCATATGTAAATTTTCATGACTTTTCTGGAACCTTCATCAGTGTTATAATAGGTACAAAGTCTGACCGTGATAAACTTAAATACCCACAAATTATATCCAATATGACCAAGGATCTCTATAATAGTGCAATAGCTTTCGTTGTCTCAAGGAAAAACGTGTAAACATATGCTGTATAAAACCTCTTTGCGAAGTTATTCTACCTTTTCATACATTGTAATTTTCTTATTGAATCTTTTGATCTTGAGAATAAGGTTATGTTACAGACACCCTCACTGTAACGTAGATCAATAGAAAATAGAAAATTTGTTTTCTTCATAATCAACAACAACAATCCTTAATTTCAATTTTATTTTCCTTATCCCCTCTTCCCAATCTTACATAAACCAAAAAAAAAAATATATATATTCACATCGAGAAAGCAAGAGAGAGAGATATAGAGAGATAAGTAAAATACAAAGAGAAGAAAAGACTGAGAATGTATTGAAATTCTCACGGACGACAGAATTGAAGAGGAGAAAAGAAGGAGAGAGAAAGAGAGGAGAACAAAAAAAAGAAATACATTGACCTTCGTAAATAGGGTGGATAACGTATATCCGAATGATGACGCATACACACACAAGTTGAAGAAAAGAGATAAAATAAAGATGTATGTTAGAGTGCTCTCTAACAGGTTATATTCGAGAACAAAGGTATAAGAGTCTATTGACTTGACTTTTTTCCTCCGGACAAAGCTATTTTCACAAAATGCTTGTAAGCGTCTGGATAATTTTTTGATATTTATGCACAGATCTTTTTCTTTTCAAAGATGAAGCCAGAAACTGATTTAACTAGCACACACGCATGCCGAAAATGGTTCGGTGTTATTTGGCTTTTTATTGAAGTCAATATTGCAAGTGCAAACATATTTGGATTCGCTGCGCTTTTTGGTGTCTTACCAAGTTATGGTATATTTAGTGAATATTGTCATTCAGTCGAAGCTGTAAATTCGACAGAACTTGATTGTTCACAACAAACTCAAAAATATCAAGTAAATATTCTCAAAAACGATTCAATTGATGCATTCACTAAGAGTTTGTTGAAAATTTAGGATGCATTGACATTAGGCATTATTTTTTTCAACATTCCATCAATATTTATTGGAATTATAATCGATGCTTTTGGTTGTCGTTTTATGAAATTGATTGGAGTGTAATCATGTTTTTTTTAAATAATTTTTAAAACTTTATTTGAATATTTTCGTAGCTTGTTTTATATTGTGGGATGGCTATCATTGGCTTTTTTGAAACCTGATAAGTATTTACCAAGTTTTTCGAGCTTATTTACAACAATGTTTATCAATTTCAGGTCATGATTCGCTTCTGTTTGTTCACACAGCTTTTGTGGGACTATCTGGAATTATTGTGCAAATTACAAGCTATGCATCAACTAGCTACTTTTCAAAATCGAGACCAATTGTATTAACATTACTCGTTGGTTCAAGTGCATCTGCTTCCATATGGTATTCAGTCTTTCAAGTATTTATTTCATTTATAAACAAAATTATATTTCGACTTATTCTATAATGTATTTTTTTAGATGATTATTGATAATAATCTTTTAACATTGTCACAATTATCTTATATTTGGTTGTCATTCGGAGCACTTTTGTTATTGTCATCGTTTTTGTTTCTTGATTGGAAATTTCCGATATTGAATCTTCCATATAAGCCCAACAGAGAACCAAATAAAACTCCATCAGAGCCAAAAACTAGTAAAATAAACCCATATGTATTCTCTTTTTATTTCTAACTAATTAGATCCTGTAGCCGAGACAAAATGGTTTACAAATATTCGTCAACGGACTGGAATTTGGCAACATCTAACCAGTCCCTTATATATATTAGTTGTTTTGTTCTTAAGTTTTCTAATGATGATGCCTATTCTTCTATCCGTTACTTGGTATCCATGGGTTTATTCTATCAATGATGACAACAAGGAACGAGGTAGTAAATATGTAGTACGACCGATTTTCATGTTTTGATTCACTCAATTCAAATTCAACTTTTCACAAAATCATAGATTTTTCTTTAATTTTGTTGCATTCCACAGAAATTTTTCAGAAGCTAAAAAGAACCGACTAGGTAGTGATTCAATCTCGATTTCATTTTCGTAGATGTTATCGAATCTAAACCTAAAGTGGATCGCAGCCGTTTAAGATACTTTTTAATTCGGTATTCTCTATAAAAAGAAAGGAGATCTTTTCAAAAATATAAGACCAGATGCAAAATTTAACAGGCTACATTTTAGTGTACCAAATTTTGAAAATTTTTTAATTAATAACTCGAAAAATATTTTCTTATCAATTTTGATCTTCAAGCATACTGTTAGAAAAAACACTGAAAACTGGACAGTAGTGTATTTTTCTTTTGTAATAACTCTTTTTATAACAGAATTTTTTAAGAAACTAATCATAATTTGATTGATTGTCTGCGAAAAATTCAGCAAAGTGAGCGATAAGCATAGAATTTAGAACTTTAAAAAAGTGTATTTTGTAGAGTAGGCATTATCATAATGAATAAGATCCAGTAGTCTTGTATGCAATCCATCCGTCATCTGATACAATCCTTTTACATTTGATCGCTCATTTCAACGATGATTTTCAGCTATTTTTTTCGTGGGTTCCACATCTTAATATCTTTACAGTTCTATAACTGACGAAAAACACGTCGCATTGAAGAGTGCAGGGTCTTTCTGAATTTTTCATAGGCTATTAATCGAATTATGATTAGTTTCTAAAAAAATTCCTGTTATAAAGAGTTATTACAAAACAAAAATATAGTTTTATTCGGTTTTCAGTCTTTTTTTCTAACACTAGGCTTGAAGATCAGAATTGATAAGAAAACATTTCTCGAGTTATTAAATAATAATTTTTCAAAATTGAGGGGGGGGGGAGAAAGAATTGTCGAAGTAGCAACGTGTTCGTTTCTCAAGAATTAGCACCATGTTCGAGCCTTCTCTCCCACAGCACCATGTTGTATAACTCTGTTCTGTTATACATGTCTCAAGCTACTCGTTCACCAATGATCTATGCATCCTGGTCGCATACCAAAGTGGTTCGACTTCGCAAGCCATTCCTCATCGTTTTATCTGTTCTATGTTTGTGCTTTGCTTTCATTGGTCTTCAATTTTCATAAATTACTTGTAATAAGCACTATGTCTCTGTAGGCCCTATCATGGGTAGAGGGTTAAGCAAATCGCAGATTATCAATAACTTTTCAAAATTTTGTACACTAGAATGCAGCTTGTTCAACTCCGCATCTGATGTTATATATTTGAAAATTGTCTGTTCTTCTGGAACGATATAATTGCCGAAACATCATGTGTCTTAAACCTTTGCCTGTTAGAGAAAAATTCAAGTTCTTTCTTTTTCTTCACGCTACAATCAATTAGATTAAGAATACATGGTTTGTGTAGATTTTAACTCTAACTTGATATATGGCACTCAAAAGATGTCATTGATCTTCTTTCTTTTCATAGAAAATACCGAAGTAAAAAATGTCTTAAATTTTTACGTTCCACTTAAGGGGAATTCATGTTCACAACATAAAAAAATGAAATAGCCTGCACTGTAAAAAGTAGTTGATTTCAGAGTTAAAATCGACTGCGTTCCTTACCTGAAGCTTCCAACCATCTTATATAAAAAATACATTTCAGGAATTGATTCATATTAGAATGATAAAATTAATCATCATCATGATTCCTAGTACGTGTCATGAAAATGCCATTTTGTCTTACGTATCAATCTGTCGGAAGAAGCTCTGCCCGCCGAAGAAAAAAAAACATCGGTGATAACGTTTACATCATGCACTATCATGGAAACTACAATTCATTTCTGATTTGTACAGTGTAATTAGAGTTCGAAGTAATTGTTAGCATTTGATTTTGAATATTCTTTTTTTTGTTTAATTATATGAAATAAGATAATACATGATACATACATTGCATGTATTTACGTTATAAATATAAAATCAAACAACAATATAGTATACAAAATCAATAGAAAAACAGTGTACTCCTTATTTCGGTCACAGAAATACTCTTTCACAAATCGCAAGAGAAAATTTCGGCTAAACGGCGACTAGAAACTGTCAAGATAAAAATTTTCACAATCGGATTCAATGAGATCTAATCACGACAGAGATATACAACATTGATTCGGTAAAGGGATATATCATATGATATTGTTTTTATCATATCAGAAAACAAAAAGAATTATAAACAATAGTGTGAGAAAAAGAAGTTTGACTTCCGAGGCTTGCATTTGAGGATCAAATGTTTCAAGAAGATTCCAATTTTTTTTCTTTTATAAACTTTCTAAAAGTAATTCTGTTTTTCATAGCAAGTGAAAGAGCTGATAGAAACGTTTGACCAGCTTTTAAAGAAGCACTTCTTTGCACCTAATTATTTACCACGAATATTACTTAGCAGGTTCATAAGGAGAACTGTTTTCATTGCTACTTAACTTTTTAATTCGTCATCTCAACTCAGATTTAAGTTGTACGCTATGATAATTGATATTTGATCAATAATTCGAACTTAAGTCATCGGATATGATAAAAAAATAATCATATTCGCATCTTCAAGTTTCATATAAAAATTATTTTATTTTAGCTGATAAGTACACATTTGCGTTCAATTTGTCAACGCTATCACAAATTGCTCTCTGCCCGATAATTGGTTTATTATTGGCAGCTCAAACACATCGAGGTACGTATAAAAACATGTCGAATATGCGCCAACTGTGTCCATTCAGTCAATAGAAGTATCTGAACAAAAACCTGTTTTCGCTCGTATTTCTCAGTTTGCGAGAATTTGAACAATAGTTTTCTTTGGTGTGACTCGAATTTGCTGCTGACAATGAATAATCGTCGTTTGTTTGTCTTCAAGCAAACGTGTGCTATCTGAATGCTGAATAAGAACATCGTGAAATATGAAACACAGAAAACCACTTTCCGAAAATTGGGAAATAGAATGTTGACAAGTTAATTTAACTAGATCACACAATACAAAGCAATTTTTGTTCATCAGTGAAATGAGAAGGCATATAGAAGTCACTTTTTTTAGTGGAAAAATTAAAGAATATGAAATCGCAGATAGTTGTTAGTCTATGTTTTGTAAGTTGTGAGCAGAAAGAGTACTGAAACTCAAAAAGGCTTTTGGTTCTTGTAAAAAATTTGCATTTCTTTGTATTCCCTTTAGTGACAAACTGTGATTTTACCTCGCATTTCTTAAAGATATGTTTGCTTTTTTAACCTATATGTTATAAGATATACGATAGGTCTTCGCCATCGATTAATCAGCAAATATAATGAGTTGGAGCAGATTGATGCTCTAATTATGTATTCAGTAATTGTATTTGCTAACACTCTGTAGTATATTTTAAAAGAGCAAAGCTTTTTTCAAAAAATGTGAGGAAGCATTTTTTGGACTCGGTGCTTATCTCTAGTTATGGAAATGATATTTAGGTCAAAAGCATAAACTATTGACTATTTCAATCTTTCAAACGTGCACATGGATATTGAATATTGTCACATGTATTATTTGTATGTTTGTTAAAATGGGCGTTATTATTCCCGCATTAATATTCTACAACTTGGCTCGTTCATCAATTGTGGCTGGTACACAGGTAGTTGTGGGTACATTGTAAGTCTGTTATCCAGTACATATTCAACACTGAGCAACTCGATCATATGATAACCATTATATGCTTCTAGTTCTTCATAAAATTCGTTTATATGATTTAAATTTCTGAAAAGAAACTCTTTTGTTTATCTAGTTTTCCATGTCAGTATATCGGTACATTGACTGGAATTATGTGGACAACAACAGGAGCAATTACTTGCATTCAATATGGACTAGTTAAACTGACAACTGATGTCTATGAATCATGGAAAGTGAGGAAGTCTCCACAATGATATAGATTATATTTTCTTTTTTTTCAAAGGCATGGGTCATCGTTTTGGCATTGGTTGTAATTATGTCTTGCCATTGGATACACTTATGGATGATGTATGTTAAAGAACTTCGCAAGCGTATATTGTTCAAGTCTGAAACTTTAGAAAATATTCATTAGTGCTATTTAAACGTTTTGATTATTAAATAAATGCTTATTATTGACAGAAAAAATGAATGATTATATTATCGTGACATACACTTGTATTCAAAATCTTTCCTATAAAGCAGTGGCGTAGCCAGGATTTTTTGAGTCATGGGTCGCTTCCCATCTAAATTATTTTGAGACAGGGGAGGTATTGGGCAATTGAAAATCAATTGGGCCGTAACTGAATGTTGTCAAAAGTTTATTGCTGTCTTCAAGTCTATGTTGTTTCAAGGAAATTTGTTGCTACCAGATTAGAGATGATCGTGTTTGCTAATATTCTCTTTTTCATAAATTAATTCATTATTTCCAAATAACTATCTATTTATTTCTCCAGAAAAAATCATTGTTAATCATAAATAGAATGAAAAGGACATCAATAAATAGAAATAATACAAGATGCAGCACAAATAAGAAATAAGAAAAACAGTACAAAAACAACAGAAGCCATTATCAACCAAAATTTAAGTGCCGTGGATGTTTTTGTACAAACAAATCGAGAATTCTCATCGCATCAATATCCACATTTTTGTGAATGAACGCAGCTGCAAGTCCGTTGAGTCGATTTTCAATCATTGTTGATCTACAATAAGTTTTTATACGCTTAAGTGAGCTGAATGCACGCTCTGCCGAGCTGGTGGTAACTGGAAGAGTAGCAAGAAAAATGAGTAAAAAGTGTACATTTGGGTATAAAACTAAATCACATTTATCAAGTAAATCGTTCATCCAAATATTAACATAATTTGGTTTGTTCATGAGATTGACACATGCATTTTTCCATCTTTCTAATTCACCGAAAAGTTGAAGAGATTGTGGCAAACGATCTGAGAATTTTTCGATTAGATTTTTATATAATTCCATTATTGAACAATTTGTCGAAGTGATATGTTGCGGTCGTAGTTGAGTAAGTAATTGTATACGTGGCTGACTAAATATTGAAAGACGATTTTCGACATTAACTTTTAACTCACGTTGAAATGGGAGAAAAACTTGATCTCGATAAAATTCTTCTGGATCAAGAAGTCGGCGGCCATGATGTCGTGAATACGTACGTGGAGCTGCTGGTTGTATAAATAACTCTTCAGAAATTTGTTTAGCTTGTTTAAAGACTATATTTTTGAAATAATCAGCAACATTAGTCTCTCTTGCTTCAAAGGTGTTAAAGCCGCCCCCCCCCCCCCTCAAAAAATGTCAAATTTCGTCAGAAAAACGAAATCTGAGAGGAACGCATAGCTGAATACTATGAGGCCTGAACATTAAGAATCAGTATGATTTTGAGGTTTGGTCCTTCAAAAAAAATGGATTTTCGCAAAAAAGTGTACTGTCGTCACAACATACCTTTTTTTTCAAAAATTGAATTTTTTTTTAAAAAAGAGGATTTTGTAGGAAAAAGTATTTTTTCTATCAAAAAAATTTTTTTCGAGCGCAAAAGATGACTAGATGGTTTAGTTTATGTTATTCCGATTATATGATTATGGACTAGTTGGTTATTTTGTACCAACTTCTGACAATGTTTTCATCTTTCAGAAAACTATTCCAATATTTGGTGTAAAAGTTGTAAAAAAGTTTATGTTACTCGAAACTTCAGATGTTCCTTGTAAATAAGCTTCTTTCAAACAGATAAAAATATAGTAATGAGAAAAGGCTTTATTAGAAAAAGGCGTTTTTATCATACATACAAATAGTAATAAAACATAAGGTGTTTATATATATATACACAAAAAAAACTAAAAACTATCGACTTGAAAATTTAATTTTCTTCGTCCGAGTCTGTCCATTTTCCACTTTTTGGATTATAATAAAGATTTTCAACGTGCTCACTTTCATTATCATTATCATCATTGTTATCGGTGTTGTTGTCAGATGTTCCATCATGAGAAGTATCATCGGTGGAGCTAATATCATCATAATTATCTTCATCATCATCATTATTTTTATTTTCATTTTGTTGATCAGATGTTTCACTAACATCATCAGCATCAGATGCATTAGGTGTTTCTTCATCAGTTGTATCTTTGATTGCTTCAGCGCGATTGATCAACTTCCGTTGTTTGCGCATATATTTTTTATTGATGGTATGTAAGCGCTCATTATCAAATGATATCAGTATGTTCTCAGTGTAGAAGCCGACATAACTGCATCATTTTTGAAAAATTTTTCCTAAAAATAATGAAATTAGCATGATATGAATTCAAAATATGTGTTAATTTTCATTTTTTTAAGTATTTTTTACCTAAACTATAATAGCCATCACTGAAAACCACTACTGCTAAGTAACAAGCAATATTAAATGTAACATCTGAGGCTGCTTTATGCTTCGGCGACATTGTCCATATTAAAGCATGAAAAGCCTCGTTTGCATTTTGTGTTGAACCATTCAAAACACGCATTAAACTTTGCTTGTAAATATCCACACCACGCTTCATCACAAAACTGATGATGATGATCAGAGCTTGTTGAAAACTTGTGCAATACATTACCTAAAAAAAAAACAAACAGATGAATGTCAAAGTGTAAAGAATCACGAATGTCAAACTTGTGCGCTTTTATATAATTTATCAAGATCATTTTTATTCTTCCGAATTGCTTCACAAAAATATATTTGAAAACGAGTTATCATTTGATCTATAAATAAATAAAGTGTTTAATTCGTATTTTTTTATTCATTATTTCTTTATTGGTATTACCTGTAAGATGTCCTTTTCCACCTATTGTTTTTCCGTCTGATAACTTCTCTTTACCACTTTTTCGTTTAATTACTTCAAGAGCACGCTTTAGACGTTTTCCAAAATGATTGATGTCTTCAATTTTCTGTATTTGAATTCCTAAAATATATTTAATATTTCTGTTATTCGTGTTATGAAAAATTAGAAAACTCATTCATACCTTTGTAAGATATTTCTGTCTTTAATACAGAAAATGTTTTAGAATCACCATCTCCTATGTATTTTACATAGCGAACACCATATTTCTTTTCAGACCTTCGAAACATCTTTAAGATGGACGATGCTTCCATATTGCCAGAAGGTTCATCGAAATTTTTTCCACAATTGTGATTGATGATAGTTTGGTCATATTTTGCTCGAGCTTCTGGTGTTCCTAATTGTAATAAGCTTTTGGCACCTAAAGTAAAAAAAAATAGTTAAATATATTTTCAATTTTTTACTGAATCATTCAAATAATCCAAGGAAAGTACCTGCACAAACGTTACATGTTTTTGAACATGTCTCAATGTCAACGACTTTCGGAGAATCACATGTTGATAACAAGTCAGCAGCACCATGCTTGCTAGAAAAGCCTCTTGTTTGCCATGTTCCATCACCACTAACGGTGATGTCAGTACTTTTGACAACATCAATAGCTTCTTGCATGGCTGTTGACATAGATTCGTTGGCAAATTTTTGTACTACTTGTAATAATTCTTTATCACGTTTGCTGTGACGTCCTTCTTCTAATGGTGGTGGTAAATTTAATGCTGCACATATTTTTTGTAATCCAGCATGGCGAATACCTGTTAAATGTCCTGCAAGTTGAGTTCTCACATTAATATCATGTCGTTTAGAATCTTGTACTTGAGGACTTGAATCTAAAAATGAAAAGAAATTCATAATAGTGCGATTATCGAGAAATATGACTATATTATTACTCACTTATGCTAATTTTATTATTACAAAAACGACATTCAAAAGAGAGAATAACGAATAATCCTTCTCTTTTATTCATGTGCATTTTACCATCCCATTGCTTTTCGCATAATGCGCATTTCGTTTTGGATAATAATGATAGTAATAAATTATTTTGAATAATAGAATACGCATCCAAGGGTACATCAGAATCAGATGATAAATTGCTATATGTTTTTTGTTTCTTGATAATTTTTAGACTAGACGTAGATAATGTACGTTTGCTAGTGGTAGATGATGAAGCCGACGTTGTAGGTACTTCTGATTCAGATGATTTGGATTTTGAACGTAAGTTTTTTATTCGTGGACGAACTCTATCAATAAACTACAATTTTTTATGATAGTATGTAAATGAACAAAGCATAGCTTTTGAAACCGTACTTTGGGCGTCGTTTGTTGACCATAGCATATATATATATATATATATATGTGTGTGTATGCGTTTGTATCGCGAAATTAGAAATCAATCTAAAAAGGAAAAAACTCATCATCATTTTTTGTTCAGAGTATGTGTTGAATTCTCGACGTATTACTAGTTTTATTTTCTTTTTATTGAAGATTCAAGACACATACTTAATAACCATAATGGTGAGAATGACAGAAACAATAAAAAAGAAAACAAAACAATAAAATAAATAAAGTTAAAGAAAAGATAGAGCCAATCACAATAAATAGAAACTTTACCATATAGATGGTGGGGAGAGAAAGGAAGAAAAAAACATAAATGTAGCATATATGGTCTTGTACATTAGCGCAGGTCATTCCAACGTTAGATCTAACCCTCAATATTCAATAAATAGTAACAGCTAGTTACGATTGAACACGTGAAGCTATTCTATGAGATTGACTATCTTTTTTTGTATAAGTATTTCTACTTGCAACTCTTGTGCATACGTACAAGTTTTCAAAAAAAATCCGAAAATTTAGATAAATAGCTTTCAGCATCCCGCCTCTTATGGTAACACCTTTAAAGACCATTTTATCAAGTTAATAGATGTTTTTTTTATACAGCTTCATTAGAATTTTTCCTAGAGAAACTTCTGAAGAAGAAGGAAAATGATATTGTTTGACTAAGCAGAGATATTCACATAATAAACAGTGTTTCTCGGAAATTTCAAATAAAAAAAATTATTTCACGTTTTTCTCAAAATGGTGGTCGAATTACGCATACGCACCAAAATTCAGTTATAATCCGATATAAAGTCAAATATTTTTTTTTTGTTTGAAAGAGTATGTCAGGATGCAGTGCCTATAGGGGCCCTTTTTTTGATAAAGCTTTCTTATTATTATATTGAAAAGCGACTTTATAATATAAGCATGATTTTTTTGAGGGATTTTTGAGTGATTGAATTTGTGAAGCCTTTTTTTCTTATCAAAGATAAGAATAAAAAAAAGGGTCCTCATAGGCACTGCATCCTGACATGCTCTTTCAAATGAAAAAACAATGAACCATATTGAATGAACAACCATCGAGATTTTGTGCGTATGCGATAAGCTATTTTTCGACCCTTGTTTGGTTCGTAGGTACCTTATACATCAGGATAGAAGGCTGAAACTTTTATCACATGCGTCCTATTACAGATCCAACATATCCCCCAAATATCAGCCTGTTTGGATGTTCCTAGGCTGAGATCAATTTTTGAGTGGGGGGGGGGGGAACCTTAAGTAATGATAAAACTTGATGGTGAGCAATTCCAATATCGATAGAAGGCGTTTGTAGAGGTCGACTGAGAGGAGTAATTGCGCTGAGAAGAAAATATGCAAAACATAAAGAAGCAATTTTTTCGAAACTATTCATTGGATGATACAGTTGCTCTGAAGTTGAGTCTCCTTCGATGCGAAGACAGTCGAGAGTATTCGAGATTGGAACGTACAATTCAAGAAATATTTCAAGTGCAACATTACGTTCAACCCAACGAGTTTCACGCTGAAGCAAAACAATTTTAAATTAATCAGAGTTAGACAACATTTTTATCCTGTAAGAACTTTTTCTGAATGAAACTTAGAGGAGCTATGTGAACAAGTTTATAGTTGAGTCATACGTCAGATTTAGAAAGATGGACTGTGCAAACTACATAGATACGAAAATTTATAGAAATCTGATTTCTCAGAAACTATAATCTGCTTCATAATAATATCGGTGACGACCATGTGATACATGAAAAAGAACATGTTTGTAAAATCATTTTCTTCAAGAAATGAGCAATCTGGCAGTCGTGATCATATTCTTTATATCCAACTTAATTACTTTCTGTTAGGTGAAAAACACAAATATAATATTTCAGACGACATTTATCTCTTTGATAAAAAGTCTCTCGACTAACTAAGTATGCTAAAGCATATCAAGATCAACTATTTTGAATAGTAACGTCGAATAACAGGAAGTCGTGTAAAAAATGTTTAACTTACCAGCGACAAAAGACGTTTTTTTCTTGCTAAGCATAAGATAATCGTTGTGTGGACGTTCAATCTCGTATTTTAATGCGTTTGTACGTTTCGCTGAATCATTGAAAAATGTGGTCACATATTTGATAATGCCGAACATGTTTCGAATAAAACGAGATGTGCATGAATCAATAAGAAAAAGATTAAGCGCATGAGAACTGCAACGCATATATTCAGCATCAGGACATGATCGTTTAACGATAGCTTGACAGCCATTAAAAACACCAGACATACTCGGAGCATCGTCATATGCTTGTCCAATACAATTTTTTAGTGGAAGTTGATACTGCTTTAAACTTGATAAAATGTGGTTGGCAATGGCTTCACCAGTTGACGAAGTAGTTGGCACGAAAGCAAGAAAAGCTTCATGAATTTCATGTGAGTGCGGATCGACATATCGAATAAGTAAACATAGTTGTTCAACGTTGGATGAATCAGTGGTTCCATCGAGTATTATAGAGTAGAGTGTTGATGGACCCACACGACCGAGAACGGACGACAAAATATACTCATGAATAAGTTCAATAATTTCATTTTGAACAGATGAACTTGTAAATGTTGCATTACGACTTCATTTTTCAAGATGGCTTTGAAGAAGATGATCACCAGCATCGATACGTTGTTTTAGAAGTGCAATGAAATTTGATCCAGATGGCATTTCAATAGAATCAAGATTTTCTCGAATAGATATAATGTCTTCACCTAAAACAGTCAACCCTGTGCACTCCGATCTTTCAATTGGAATTATACTCTAATTCTTTTACTATGTAGTCTAGATAAGGCGGTACCAATACTCATTGATACGCTCCACTCTCGATTAATTGAACTGTTGCCATTTCTCTGTAAGATTTCTGATTAGTTTCACATATTACAAAGACTTTTAATCAATAACTCAAAAAGAATTCTCTGATGTTCAGTTGCATTTTCTAGCTAATATGACTATCTGATATAATTACATTTATGATGTAATTAATGAAAAATTATCTTCGACAGCGAAAATTCTGAAGATAAGCAGTAAAACGGAAGTTAACATTTTCAATCCTATTCTTTTAAACCAGTCTTCCACTCTCAGCATAAAATTCGTCTCTCATGCGAAAAGTAATTATCGATAGTCTACTACGATGCTGCCCAAAGCTTGTTTTAGCACGAAAACTGTATTTCAAAAATTATTCTCGGTCATTCTCTAGTAAAAGAGAACAAAAACTTACCTCGATGACCACGTAAAGCAATATTTTGTCGTGCACAAGTGATCACCACTTTAATGATTGAAAGAATTATGGTTTTGTTTTTTTCGATCGCTTCGATTCTGTTTCGATCAAGCTGGTAATCAATACTAGAAGATGGATTTTCGAATGTGCAAATAAAATTCGTAGGGCGCTCAATAGCTATTTAATGATTTTTCGAAATAAGATGAAATTTAATGTTCGTGGTGAAATGCTTTAATCATTCGAATCGAGAACATGGATAGTGAACGAAGATAACAGCAGATTGATCTGAAACTAAAGGTGAAAAAAGAGCACAAGCAGAACAAAACGCACCTTCATAATATGGCGAGTAAGAAAGAAATGAGTACTGGATTAGCCATGTAGCCATGAATCGACGAACAGTTCCATTTTTTCCACGTTGGTTTGAAAATATGTATTTATTATCAGGCCGAAATGGTTTTGTCAATAGCAGGTATTTGATATCGTTAGCAGGTGGATTATGTTGCGATAGTTGGTACCCAATATCGTTGTGATGAGTTTCTGGACGAGAATAGATAACAATCAAGTTCTGATCAACGTTAGTAGAATCGATGTCAATTGTCTCGTCCAAATTAGCATTACTGGCTTGAGCAGGGTCAACAGTGATAAGATTAGATTTATCGGTCTCGAATTGTTCACACTCAGTTTGTTCAGACGAAGGAGAAGTAATGAAAGGCTTTTTCGTAACAGTAACTAATGAATCGAGTGTTCGTTTATTACCAGACATTTTTATGCAGAAGATATTCAATATAGAAATGAGAGTATTTTTCTGTCAACAATTTCACCGTCGTTGTTCTTTTATATTGATTAACGGAAGAAAATGATTCATATTTTTCGTTACTTGACCGCAGCGCTGACAATTTTTTTGATTATCTGACGACTGTCATGCTCATAATTGCTCTTTAATGATCGAGAGTGACGACGTGTGTCAGTTTATCTTTTTTCGTCAGATAATGACGAATGTTTCTTTCTCCTTTCATCCAATAACGAAGAAACTCACTTTACCATCTCGCATTACATAATGATGACTGCTGCTTTGTATTTTATTCCTAGCTAGTTCTTTCACCCGTGTAAGTTTTTTTAACAGGTGATATTTTTAGTTATTTGTACATCCTCTGAACTATATATTATCATTCCATTACTATTACTACTAATAACTAAGTAAAACTTTCAAACGGCACTCATTAGCATCTTCTTTTGAGAATTGGAATTTTTTTAAATAAAATTACGAAAGTATTGTCAACGCTTATACTGTTCAAGTACTCGGCTTAAGTTACATCAGTCGTTTTGCTTTTGAAAGAATTCTATGTTCTCTCGAAAGATTCATCAATATGCGTTTATAACTTTATTATCAATTTTAAGTGAGAGTATAAGATTCTTTTTAGCTTAAAATACGATGGAATTATTCTTTATTTTGATCATTTCGATAGATAGATATCCTTGCAGGCTTTTGCTGGAACCTCCTAACATCATTATTCTCGATGAAACTTTTTATCAAAAGCGTTATCTGTCTTGTGAGCATTCCAAACATTAGCAATACTATGATCTTCTAATCAAACTTCAGCAACCTATAGCTAAAGTAGTATTATCTAAAACAGTAAGCAATTGTATCCTAACACAACCCTGATAGTGGTTGTCCACTTTTGAACAATTTCTTCTTCCGCTTGCATTCATTCTGTTTGTGCCTAAAGGTCTTCGACTGCAGTTCAAAGGAATCCTTCCAGCATTCGATGAACGATGCTTTTGTACGAGATCTCGTCCAAAGCAGTTTCATAATATCTTGCTAGAAATCTTTTCTTTCCTTCGTTGGTGTAGGATTTCTACTCACATAAAAGATTAGTAATCTCTGTAGAAACCCTCCTCAAAGCTTCTTATGTGCTCCTCAAGGATTCCCCATCTGGTACTTTGATCGTTACTAGCAGAAGACACTTCTCTGATATAGATAAAATTCTAGAATAGATCTTTATTTTTCATTTCTAGCAAAAGATGTTACCAAGATCTTGAGCAGAGTCCTTACAAATACGAATTTTCTTAGAACCTTCTTCTAGGTATCCACCAGATCCTTCAGACACGATCCCATTGATATCAACAAAATGTAGCTTTTCCAATACAAATACGATGTTTTTCTAGCAGACCTCGACAAACACTTGGTAGTCTCTTTTGCCAGCAATCTTTCTGCCACGCATGCTGGAAAGATTCTGCTTTTGTTCAATCCTCGATAACCCATGGTTGAAGAGCTTACCCTGATATAACCGAAAGTCTAGAATAGATCCTGAGTGTTGGTTTCAGACAGAAGACCTTAACAAGAACATCAAGAAAAATTCTTGGAAACATGGCTTCTTGTAGTTCTTGTTACTAGAATATCTGAAGTAATAGGCAGAATTTTCACTTTCTTGAAATTTCAATAGGTTTCGGAAATAATATCATTGGAAAGAACCTTTTCAAGGTTTAGCGTATGTTAAGAAGACGTATGTGACATTTGTAGAACTTTTTTGCGCACACAAAAGAAAGAGACCGAGATCTCTTCGTAGACAACCATGATGACGATTGCTTTTCTTTTTTCGTTCCTTTTAGTGAAATCCTATATTCCTATCAATGCCCGATGGACACAGCATGGGTTGACTGTTGCTGGAGGCTATGGACGAGGAAAAGCCACCAACCAACTGAACTGGCCTGAAGGCCTCTTTGTTGATAATGATCAAACGATGCTCATTGCTGCCCATGGTGTTGATCGTATCATCCAATGGAAGAAAGATGATATGAATGGACAAGTAGTGACTGGTGGCCAGGGCGAAGGAACTCGATTGAATCAATTCAATTGTCCAACCGATGTGTTAATCGACAAAGAGATGGATAGCCTCATTATTTGTGATCTAGGAAACCGGCGAGCCATGCAATGGTCTCACCGTAGTGGCACAACACAGGGAGAAATCCTCATCAGCAACATCGACTGTTATGGATTGGCAATGGATGATAAGAGAAATCTCTATGTCTCTGACACTGACAAACATGAAGTAAGACGATATCAAATTGGAGACAATAAGGGAACTCTTGTAGCTGGTGGTCATGGCTGGCAAGGGTGCTCGTCTCAATCAACTCAACCAACCGAAATACCTCTTTGCCGATCGACAACAGGCTGTGTACGTTTCGGATCACGGCAACCATCATGTGATGAAATGGGATAAAGATGCAACGGAAAGAATCATCATCGCTGCAGGTCAAAGCGAAGGAAATGCTCTCACACAATTGAATCATCCTAATGAGCTGTTTACTGATACCTTGGGTGTCCTCTATGTGGCAGACACGGCGAATGACCGAGTAATGCGTTGGCCTGAAGGAGCAAAAGAGGGCACTGCTATTGTAGGCGGAAATGGTTGTGGAAAAGCAGCTAATCAGTTGACACGTCCCATGGGTTTGTCATTTGATCGAAATGGCAATCTCTATGTCGTCGATTATGGGAATGATCGTGTTCAACGATTTTCAACCAAATAGATTCAAAAGAATGATTAACCATTTTCGCTGTTTTTTCTCTCAAATAGATTTCATTGAATGAAAAAAGAACTGTTTATTCTGTTTGTACAAGCACGGGGTCAGGAATGGCTCAGATGGAACCGTGGCAACAGAAGGTTTACGCACATACGGGAAAGACTCGAATCATTCATATCGAATGTGTGAATGAGTCTGGTAGAGGTCTGTTCATTTTTTGTGGACACCAAGCTGGATCCTGACCGAGTTTTTATGGTCTACGCGAAAAACCGGTCAATAACAGGTGTTTACACGAAAGATCTCATAATACTAAACTTGTCCATCCTCTACGTTTTCTCATTTTTAAAAAAGAAATCAAAATAATTACTTCCTTGATGATGGTGGATGATTACGTAATATGATTGACGGCTAAAAGGTAAAGAACAAATTAATTAACGCTATAAATATTGATATATAAAATAATTAAAAGACGAAATTACCTCTCGGTTATCTAGTTTCAGTTTTTACCATATCTAAAATAGAAAATAAGAAAGTTAAATTTAAAAAAATCTTATCTTATTCGTTAGGAAATTTATCAACGCTAAATAAAAGAACTTGAATAAGAAAAATTTGATTCCTTGAAATTATTTTGATCTAAAACAAAAAAAAGAAAAAGAACAGCGCTAGATAAGATCACAAATGTGTCATCTCCTTCGATTCAATCCAGATTAATATGAGAAGAAAGCTCATACATTTTTACACTCATGCTTCTCTTACAAATTTCGACTAGAACAGAAAAGAATTCCAAGGTTAATCCTGATGAATGACTATACATATATTTTCGCTCCTACACCTGTGCATCATGTCCTTCGAACTTTTCATGTCTATCTCTGTTTTCTCAGCTTGCTTTAGGGTGTAGGCGTGGGTGTAAGAGTGGGGTGGAAGTGTGATGGTATATTCATCTTATATTCACTGACATTCACACTCACACCCACATTGCCACCCCACACCCACACCCACGTCCTCTGCTTTCAATTGAGTTACTCACACCCACACCCACCCCATGGATGGACGAGGCCAAAATGCAAGCAAACTATTTACAATTCCCTCCGGTGTTCATCCAACTACTCTGGACAACTTCACATTTTGTGTGTGTCCACTCTGTCATCTTGGGACAAACTACTGTGTTCCTTTCGATGCCTATTCTCAAATGTCGGGCCAAAATAACAGCACATCTGCCTCTTTCGACGACAGAGCTGTTGAGCACATGTGTATGTGTCAAAGCAACGATTTACACCCTCACATGTTTCAGAGTGCTCTATACTTTAAAACAGCCTACTTCACAATATACAACGTCACAAATGAAAGACTGATAATGTGCAACTAGAGACGTATAAGACTGTCATCTATCTAGAGTCGAACAACCTCTGTGATCTTTATCATAGAGCAAAAGTTCAAAACATATATATATATATATGTTCTGTCACCAAAGAATTGAAAGTATACAGTCTATAATTTACGATCTTTCATTTACAATTCTCTCTTTTGAAAGTTTATTGGCTTGATCCCTTCACAAAGCATACAGAGGAAGTAGTATTCTGCTAATGGCTATGAATGAGTCATCCGCCAAGTATTTCAATTTGATTTCGAAAGTTTAAAACACAGCTGCCATCCGACCTCTATCTAACTGTCGAAGGTATTTTAAAAAGAATTTATACGTGTTCAACAAATTTTCGATCATTTTGGTAAACAATTTAATTATACCATGTCAGTCGATAATAATAACTCGCAATTGGATATTGACAATCTACTCGAGCGGCTGCTTGAAGGTCTGTTCAATATTATCTCCTTCTGAGTACTGCTCATAGTTAAGTTTTCCTCTTTTCAAAGTGCGTGAGTGTCATCCACCTGGCAAGTTTGTTCAAATGTCCGAACAGGAAATGAACCTCTTGTGTGAAAAATCGAAAGATATCTTTCTCAATCAACCAACGCTTCTCCAACTTGAAGCTCCTATCAAAATATGCGGTAATATTATTTACTAGTACTCAAGCTATCAATAAGTTAACATCTACAGACTTGCGATTTTCCACGGAAAGTGATTAATCCTAGCAAATGTGGTTTTGTATATTCTTTCAAATCACAGACAGGATTCATATCGTAAAGATCGGTTCAGATCTTAAAATTATTAGTCGAGGCGTTTGAGAATATTTGAATAAAAAGTTCAATCGGCTATTTTTCACGAATTTTCTTTGATAGGCAATATTTACGGTCAATATACTGATCTGCTTTGTCACTTCAAATCTGGTGGCTTTCCACCTGAATCCAACTATCTGTTTCTTGGTAACTATATTGATCGAGGTAGACAATCTTTGGAAACAATCTGCCTTTTGCTTGCTTACAAAGTTTGCGGACTTTCTGCAGAATCTAGATCATACACATTTATTTTATTTTCGTTAGATAAAATATCCGGATAATATTTTCTTACTAAGAGGAAATCACGAATGCACTTCAATCAATCGCATCTATGGGTTTTACGACGAATGTAAGTATTGATCACACTTTCTAATTTATTCAACTATTAGCGGCTAAGCAATTTTCAGATTTTCCATAGAGAAACTGTTATAACTTGCGTCTTCGACTACAGATACAGTGGTAAAAACTATATCTGAAAGATTTGCTATTACCTGAGATTCACCTAAAACTCAACGAATCTTATTTTGATGTTACGCATGCACAGAATTAGATTGAAATGTTTTGACATCTATTTTCATTGATATCTATAGGCAAACGACGGTACAACATCAAATTATGGAAATCATTCAATAATGTAAGTTCAATAAACTCTTTTTCTTTGTTAAAAGTTTCTGTACATTATCTATTCAAGTGTTTCAATTGTCTTCCGATAGCTGCTATTATTGCCGGCAAAATCTTTTGCTGCCAGGGAGGTAATACTTGATTTTTCTGACATTCGATATCTATTTATTGCTTTATTGGCTGAAGGCCTTTCACCTGATCTTCATAGTTTAGAACAAATTCGACAGATCCAGCGACCGATCGATGTGCCCGATGCTGGTAAGAAGCGCCTTCAATTCTTTCTACTCTGTTTTGCATTCTAAGAACTCACTGTAATAACATTGATGCTTTTAAGTCATATAAGACTGAACAGCAAAAGCAGATAAATAATCAGAAAATCGAATAAATAGATCATCCTCATCATTATTTAATTTGCATCATTTAGGTCTTCTTTGTGATCTACTCTGGTCCGATCCGGACAACGACTTGAACGGCTGGAGTGAGAATGACGCTGGTATTTCGTTTAGATTTGGTGTTAATATAGTAAATGAAGTAAGTCATTGAACAAATCCTTCTTCTGTCTGCTTTTGGTAGATGCTATCGCTTCAGTTTTTGAATCGACATAATATGGACTTAATTTGCCGAGCGCATAAGGTAAGACATTCCAAACAATTCATTGGATATTTTGCTTCTTTTTAAAGGTCATCAAAGATGGTTACGAGTTTTTCGCTGATCGCCGATTGGTCACTGTCTTTTCAGCTCGAGACTATCTTGGTTCATTTGATAATGCAGGCGCACTCATGTCAGTCGACGAAAATTTAATGTGCTCATTTATGGTATTATGCGTTTCTTATTATTATGATAGAAAGATAGTTCTTCGACAGTCGCCCATTCATGTTTAGGGCTTAGTGTTTATTAGAATAGTTTGTTCGTGAAAAGTTTTGAAATTTTTATTTTGACATAAACACGTCTTAATTTTTATCTTGTCTTGGTCAGATCTTCTAGACTGGTCCTTCGAAAATAATTTGCTGATTCACTTTTTCTGCTTCGGTCGAATCTTAAATCCACACTCATCTTATGCTCTGTTTTTTTATAGATTATTCATTCAAGCAATAAGCAAGCTAATGAACAAGACGATGAGAATCTAAAATTGAATTGTCAAGCCCGATCTGTCAGTGACAATATGATCAATCCATCTATGCCTAAAATGGACGGTTCTCAAAAATGTGTGAGCTGGGCTGATATGAACGACAGTGCATCACCTAAAGAATGAATACTAAACGCACTTTACATAACCAATACCTACTCGCTCGTTTCTGTAATTTATAGTCGTTAAGTGTCATACAGAGAAAAATAACATTTATAAAATTATCATGACACAATTCACTTTTTGATTGATGACTTCTATGCT